TTATATTTCATGTAATACTATTAGTATAATGTTTTTGAAACACTGTAGAAATCGTGTCAAATTATCGATTTTGTGAGAGAGATTAAAATGCTGACTGACAAAGAATGAAGAGTGATGTTGAGATGGATAAGCTATTGCATAGTTCATGTAGGGACTGAGGTGATTGTTGTTTGTGTGTGACTGTGTGCTGGGTTTTTCTAACCCATCTCACTACAGATCATGGTTTGTCTACATACATCCCTCTTCCCCTCGCTCAGACTTTTCTCTTGAGTAGGATATTTTGTTTGGTTTGGTTAGACGCATATTCTATTACTTGTTTGTTGAATTCTAGGAAACCAACATATAGTGATGGGCACCCCCAATCACAAATACCATTTTATGGGGGTAGTATATTTTGGCACGCTAAAGTTCTTATCATGTATGCCTACTGAATACTTAAGCCTACACTTTATGCCGTTATGCCTATGATGGGATATTGGTTACCAAGTTGGACAAAGCCCTATATACTTATGTTGCTGTAGAAAACTTCAGATTTTGTGGATGGAGATGAGCTACCCAAAATTTCATTTAATATGTTTCTTTTCTTGTTTCCATTGCCCATGGAGCGAAAAATGCCTTCATTGACACTGTTTTAAGATTCAGGTAAATAGTGGACTAAATTTACCAATGAAGCTAAAAGAGTCATTTTTATAATGTTTTAGCTCTAGGTAAAAGGGTATGTATGGACTAAATCAAAATGGGACATTAAATATCCCTTGCTTCTTATTTCAATATTTCATAGTTTGTGTGATTTACAATCTTGTACCAGGGACTTCAGACTTGCTGCTTCTGTTTTCTTTCTTGCAGGTTTTTGCTATGCCTGAAACCTCTTTAGGCCTTTTCCCAGATGTAGGTGCCTCTTACTTTTTGTCAAGGCTTCCTGGATTCTTTGGTGAGTTCAGGAGTTTCAAACTTTATGTGTTCCTCTGCATATATTGATTTCATTATCATTGACCAATTATTGTACGAGTATAAATCTTTTTAAGGGGAATCATTGGTATTAGTCTTTTCCAACTTAGATATATGATTATTATTATTTTTAGAATTATTATAGTTATCACTTATCTGTAGGTAGACCAATACAGTCTGCATTTTTTAATCAGTCTTTATCTTCCTTGGCAGGAGAATATCTTGGGCTTACTGGTTCTAGGTTGGATGGTGCTGAAATGTTTGCAAGTGGTCTAGCTACTCATTTTGTTCCTTTAGAGGTACCCCAACATCCCTGACATTTAGAATCTTGACATCATTTATTGTTGTATACCTGACAACCATATTTGATTAATCACATTGAAGCAACTTTCTTGGATGACATCCTATTACAATAATTTAATGTCAGAAAAGAATATGCACTGTTGTTTTTTTTAAAATAAAATTGGTAAGGTGAAAACCTGGCCTGGGGTTTGCCTTTTTTGTTAAAAAGAAGAATATGAACTTTCATTTTCATCACATTGTATCATTTAACTAAACTCCTTACCTCTTGCAATTAACTTCACATTTTCTTTTTTCGTCTGTTCCAAATTAAATTGCCCACTTCTCTCATTTCCTTTTGAGGAAACGAATATACGACTCACAACAATTTTCTGTTCTAAACAAATTCAAATTGCACACTTTTCACTTTTCAACATTTTCCTAGACTCCGTGTTGCCAAAGTGTCAAGTTAATTGTGGGTCGGAAGGAGTAGTTATTTACATGGCTCATTTTTGTAAGATACCATATTGTAAAGAGTTTGTTTAATCTGGCAGTAGGTTGCGCTAAATGTCTATGCAAAGAATGATTTATCTCATTTCCCCATTAATCCTTATACGCTCTTATTAATACCCGCAGATTATGGTGTAGAATCTTCCTTTTGAAATGTATTTTAAAAATATATATGTGAGCATTATGCTTGCCTTTAAACCACGTGTTTAATTCATCACAGCTCTGCTGCGTTAACTTTAAATTTCATTATACTCTTCCCTTTGAGTACCACTTTGGTATGCATATTTTCTGCCTTATTATGCAGAGGTTGTCATCCTTGGAAGAAGCGCTACGTAATAACAATTCAAGTGACCCAGTAGATATCTCCTTAATTATCAGTGAGTTTTCGGAAGTACCAAAATTGAAAGAGAATAGCCCTTATAATCAGTAAGCTTCTCTCTCTCTTTCTCATTATGTGTGTTATGATTTCAACATTTCTATTCTCTGCCTGCTTTGTGCTGCAAGGCATTATTTGTTCTTTGATTTTCTCATGGAAATTGACGGAATTTCGGATACCTTATTGAACAACAATGTTCATTTATCCATTTTCATTTGTTAGGAGTAATACGGTGTGTTTTAAGCAAAGGTAAATCGGTAATTCTTGGTCACTGTGTTTCACCTCAAAAGATTGTTTTTTGTATCCAAAATTATCACGTTAGACATTGTGCTAACGTTGCTTGATGCCACTAATTGTTTGAGGATCACAAAGTTTCAGAAGCGACCACTGATCACATTTCAGAACCCGACAAGCTAACTAAATAAAGATTTGCATAACATTCTTTTCTACGAACACTTCAGCGACGTCTTCAGTCGATCCCTCTGGTCAGGCGTATGACTGGTTTGGATCTCATTTCTGCAATTTTATCTGCACAGGATGAGGATTATTAATCGCTGCTTCTCTAAAAGAACAGTTGAAGAAATCATTTTTGCACTTGTAAGTAACCAACAATAGTGGTAGCGATTATGCAAAATTTTGTTTTCTTTATCCATATGTACTTTTTAGCTGGCTGCAAACTAGCATAAGTTGATTAATGATTTTCCCGTATATTATCTTATGTAGGAGAATGAAGCTGCAAATAACCAGGATGACTGGATTTCATCAGCAATTCAGTCACTGAAGAAGGCATCACCTACAAGTCTTAGAATATCGCTAAGATCGGTAAGTATCAATAAGCACCCTCAAACATTCTCGTTAATTAATTGATAATTCCCAATAGTTGTACCTTACTCAACTTAAAAAGTTTAACTTATCCATTTGCAATAGTGGACTCTTTTATTGGATGGAAGGAGTATTTTTTAAATATAATGGCGTAGGACTATACCCCAGAAAACTAGAGTCATGGGTATCATCATGACTTTTGTAAGCATTCTGGCAAGAGTTTGTGGAGTATTTGAATGTGCTTTACTCTTTCCCTTCAGATACGGGAAGGGAGGCTGCAAGGTGTTGGTACATGCCTAACTCGCGAGTTTAGAATGGTTTGCCATGTGCTACGTGGAGACTTCTCCAAGGATTTTGTCGAGGTAAAGGAAGTCGTCTCCTTCTATTTGTTGCTTCTTGCCCTAGTGGCCTAGCCCCTATGTGTGCTAGAAAATTTAAACTGCTGTTTCGAATCTCAGGGATGCAGAGCTATACTCTTGGACAAGGACAGAAACCCCAAGGTTCGTTACGTTCGTGTGACTAAATTACGTAATCGTGTCGTCGAAGCATCCAAATCTTGAATACCAACTTCTGATTTTATATATTTTTTTTAATTCTGGTTTTTTTAATATTAGTGGGATCCATCCAAGTTGGAACTGGTCACAGATGAGATGGTTCATCATTACTTCGACAAGGTGGACGACGGAGATTGGAGAGATTTGGAGCTGCCAAGCAGGCCAAGCTTGTCATCATTCGCCATTGCTAAGCTCTAATCAGTATTTTGGCCATTAAATTAACTAGTACGTAGTAGTAACTGTTAAATATGGTGGTAAATAAAGAAAGTGGGTAAATAAAAATTGTTTGTGAATGACCTCGCATGGTTAACTTTCATTGCTGGTATGTCAAACACAGCCTTGCACAAATCGGGTCATTTTGCATTGATGAGCAAGTTCCATTTTCAATACAAATTGAGCAAATTCCATTTTTACCTAGACAAGAACTTTGATCCTAATACATTCACCATTATTTGCTCTCCATCACAGAAGTCTTCTGTGATGTTTAATTATTAGCTGCTATTAGCCCTACACAGGGCCTGTTTGGTGAGCGTGTGAGATGAGGTTCTCATATTTCTCGATAATATAATCTTCTTGTGGGTGTCTTGAGTATAGTAAAGCCTTGACCGGATTCAGATTTGATATTTTCCGATATCAAAACCTTATCTTCGCACCTTTATAAACACCACTCCTTTTCATGTACTCCCAAGTATAATTAACACTTCTTAATTTACTTTTATGAAAAAGATGTACTCCGTAATTCATAATATTTTTGAACAAATTTTAATTACATTATTTTTTCAAATACTTTTCTAAGGTTTCATTCGATTAACTTGTCAAGTTTCTTAAGGGATAAAGAGCGACGGAGTATTAGGTTAGTTTTTTTTTTGCTTGCTTTGTTGTTAAACATTGTAACAAACACTAGATTACTGATGTTATTTAAGTAAAAGAAAAGTCTCACTTAATTCTGTAATACATTTCACCTTTTTAGTGTTTTTTCATATTGTTTGTCATATTTTCATTTCGGGAGACTAAATTTAAAATTCTCTCATAAAAAATTTCTGACTTTTCTTTTTTATTCATTCAAAAAAACCTCAGTTTCCTTTTAAGGAAAACAAATTCTGACTAAGAATTTTTTTCTCTTCTTATCCAATTCTAAATATACGATTTTTCACTTTTCAACATTTTTTTAAAACTCCATGAAAGACGAACTGAGCATTTTTTATATGATAAAGAGAATACACCTTACTATTTTCATCAAATCTCCCAACCAATACCACCTTATTCTCTCACACAACCAAAAGTTTCTCTAAAAAGTCCCACTCTCCTCATCTCAAACTCCATGTTAATTCAAGTGAGACAACTATAATCAAATGTGAAAATACATAAGAGTAAAAACATGCATCATATGTTAATAAGCCTAAGTGCAACTTGAACACCCCTACATCATTTAAATGCTACTTTAAAGTTAATATTGCTAATTATCACTGAACTTGCACAAACTCTATTTGCATCAGCTAGGTTGCAGTGCAAGTCGATCACTAGCTTTGTTTGTAGACTTTAGACCACAACAAATTTTGATCGTAGTCTTTGTCGGTTCGCAATCACATTGGCTTAGTGTAATGTAAGGACTCTATAGTAAAAGACAGCAAGATGAAAACAACATGTTGCATACACGATAATGGTACCCTTTTTGTGTAAAACACGTTTGGTTTTAATGGAAAATTTGTCGAAACTTGTGGTTGCAACTCTAAGACGTTTGCAACGATTAATAAATTTCACATTAATAGCATTGCATTACAAATATTCTCAACAACTCCATAATCAAAACAGAGTATGCAGAAGAGGTTAACTACAAAGAGACTGTTCGCCTATAAAGTACCTCATCATCACTGTCCCCTTCATCATCTTCTTCTTCTACTACACCTCCGGTTCCCGGTAATTCCAACTTCCCACCCATAACAAAAGATGGACCCACACTTTCGGCCTCAATAGAATCACCGTACAACCTCTCTTCAAATCTTTGGTCACTGCAGTTGAGAAACCAAGCCAGCGAGCATTTGATTCCCTTGCTGTGTAACCTCTGGTGTCTTGGTTTTATCCTGGACTCCAAACTGTACGTAAAGTAGTCTGGAAACTCAACAAGCTCTTTCATAGGCCTAGCCATTTCACTCTTGAAAAAGTAGAAGCTGTTTTTCATTAGTCCCACTTGCTGGGAAACCAACTGAGGGCATTTCACCACCATTTTTGCAACGTCAGAAGTTGAAAACCCGCGTCCCAGAAGAAACTCAACAGGTTTCATTATCTGGCGTTGGTTGAGACTAACAATTTGTGGCATCCTTTGGATCACACAAGCAAACCCGTCGGGGTCAATCTTCAGCTTTAGGTTGAAGAAGTACTGTTGTGAAGATAGTTTTGCCTTCAAAGGCAAGCCGAGGATCTGCGGGTACTGTGCTATGACAGAAGGGAGAGCTTCTGGCTTTATGCCGAAACTTGTCAAACACTCCACATTAGGTTTCACAGTGTTTTGAAGATCGTATCCGAGTAAATATGGCCGCTTTTCCAGCATCCTGGCCAAGATTTTCTTGGGCAGACCAAGTGAGACCAAATAATCAACAAGTGGCTTAATCGTTGTCCCAACTCTCATCCCCAAAAAATAAGGGTATTGTGTAACCATGGGTCCTATATCTCTTGGGTTGACCCCTATACTAAATAAGTACGCCACGGATGTGCTCATTGTCCCCTCAAGCTTGAACCCCAAAAGCTCTGGATACTTTGTCAAGACATACCCAATATCTTGCTTCTCAACATCAAGGCCTCTCAGAAACTTAATGACCGGAACAAGATCAACCACAACGCTAGCATTGAGACACTGTGGATAACTTTTCACAAATTCGCCCAGTTTTGGCTTTGAAATCCCAATCTTTTCCAAATACGCTAACACGGGAATCATGTTTTTCCTCACACTACAACCCAACATGAGGGGATACTCATTCATATCATCAATCGTTAAGCCTATTTTCTGCAAGAACTCTACACGCTCGCGCATTACTTCCACTGTAGAGGGTAGCTCCAAATCCTCCAACTCATCGGGGACTATGCCTACACTCTTCAAATAATCACAAACTATAACCCGCGACACGAGTTTCTCTTTACAGCCTTGAATCACGCCCCAAGTGACCGTAGGCATTTCATATTCAGGGAATTTGGACGGTTGTGTCGAAAAGGGCTTCGCTAATTGAACCTCTGGGAGACACATTTGCTGTTGTTGTGGGACAAATTGGGAGGGTTTGGGAAAGAAGCTCAGAAATTTAGCTTTTTTACCATGTTTTAAGATTTCTTTGATGTACTGGTTTCCTCTTACACTCGAAGTCATTTCATCAAACAGGTGGAATGCAACCTCAAGATTCCAAAGATTGAAGATAAAACTTAGTATCTAAGTAGATTTGGAGCTAGGGTTTATGCTAGAGCATCAAAGGGGAGAAAATTTATAGAGATTCAAATAGGAAATCTGTGCAGAAGGTTGATGCCTACCACTTTCCGCCGATGGAAGAAGCTGAGGTCATGGCTTTTCTTGAGCTCAGAGGTGAATTAGGGGACATAAAAGAAAGAAGACACTGTCTTGTGGCCATCACAACTCATAAGACCCAGTTTAAAAGAAAAGATGTAATCAAATTGGGCTTGGCCCGGGCTTCCAGTATTCTGGGCTTCCATTCTAGCCTGATTTTTCTTAAAGGAGGCTTTTATTTGTTTGAAAACTGTTACTTCCTCCATCCATTAATTCCGTTCCCTTTTTAAATATGTAGTAACATGTAAAAAACTAAAGAAACTAAAAAATTAAATAACAATTTTTTTGTAGAATTGTTCTTGACAAATTCTCGATTAAAATCAACGCACCACAAACAAAAGAAAGTGAAGGAAAATAGCAAGAAATACAACGATGCATATTGGTTCGGCCAAATGCCTACATCCAGTTCCCGAACAAACGTGTTTGAGCCTTCACTACCAACCCGTCAAACTCGATGGAGTTTGACAATCTGGTACAACTTGAGAACTTGATTTCACAAGACTCATATCTGAATAGCAAAGCTTTGATTCCACAAGAGCCAACCCAGTTGATGTAATCCCAACGTCAAAATGTTCACATCCTTTCTCAAAAGAAAGAAAACAAAAATAGTGTTACAAGTACTCTCATAAGAGTGGATTACTACATTGCAATGATCTCCTATAGAATATGTCTTAATCTATCAAAGACTCAAGCAATGAGGATAGACAACTCAAGCAAGAAAGAAATTAACAATCAAAATATTGCCTTGCTTGAATATGACCGAAAAGGGGATTGAGTAGAAACTCTTTGAATAATCAAAGGATAGGTTAATGAATGTGTTCTTGGTACTCTTCTATTGATAAACACGAATGTGGGTGGTTTATAGAAGTTAAAGAGTGAAAAGGGATCAAGATATTTGAAAAAACAAGTCGTTTGGAGGCTAAACTTGTCAGCTTATTCGAATAGGTCTTCACTTGTTCGAATAAGCTAGTGAAAATTTGTTGCCTAAAATTCTTGTATTTGTTTGAATAGACACTGCATTTGAGAGTACAAAAGGCAAGACCTAATAAGATAAATGAGCTTAGCACAACAAGATATGGGATAGAAACCTAATAGGAAGAAAAGAAATAGGTTCAGACCAAAATAGTGTAACTATTCGATGTTCGTTGAACTAAATGAGTTGAACTATGTTCAACGAACAACTATTTGAAACGAACCGTTACACTCATAGAGAAAAGTGACCAAGAGCCATAATAGCCTAGCGGCTGACCAACAACGAATGCTACCTCATGCCACCAAGAATGTATTGAGACCAAAACAACACTAGACGCGTATGTTGGAAGTTGCGGATTTGAAATCAAAAGAATATGTTCCCATCCATGGGAATCATAGATAGAACTTTCATAGCGATCTACTTATCATCCCTTATCCCGATGGGTGTGGTTAATCATAAAAGATCAGATAGTTGGTTCAATATTGGTTTGTATCTCAAATAAGCCAGTACGGAGGCGCTACCCAGAACGACTTTCATTGACATATGATTAGGTGTAGAGACGACAAGGCTGAATAAGACGTAATAGTAAACAAAAAAGTAGATTAGTGGACATAGGGGGTACTTGGTTCTCACTCATAAGGAATGTACTCCTATCTATAAATGTTCTTCACAATTTGATCTGACAGACATATTATTGAAAGATGAAAAAAACAATGAATTTTTTACATATATTCCTAAATGAATAATATTAAATAAAGTGAATAATGATGATTTCATAGTTAATGAGTTAAAGTGGAAGGGTAAATTTGACATTTAAGATAACTTCGTTTTCATTAGAGGAAAGGGTAAAAAATTATTGATATAATAAAAAATAAAGTGGGAAATAGTTTTTTGGATGCAGATGGTAATACTTTAGTTTTTATGATCTTTGATGGATCACTTTTTAACATCATTACTTCCATAGTTTTTATCAATATATTTCTTTGACCATTAATATCTATGGTTATATTTAATCAAATTGTATGAATCTAGTATACACTAAGGGTCCGTTTGATAAGTGAAATATGGTTGATATGATACAAGTTTTAAAGTCTAGACGAAATAATATGAATTCTTGAATCTGAAATGATAGTGTTTGGAAATTTCTAAAATAATAGTTGTTAGTGAAAGCAGAGGATGGTTGGTGGCCGATGGAGTTGAAAGAAATATCAAAACTTCTAATTGAAATCTCTATCAATATGCATCAGTTTGAAGGGTTCTTAAATTGGAAAATATTATTAAATCTAAACCCAGTTCAGGCTTCAGAAAACATCTACAAAAGATTTTGATACAAGAAATATTGAAACTCATATCTCTTGCAATGGAGAAAATTATTGTCACAATTTTTCAATGGAGAATGTTGATAAAAAAATCTAACCCCTCTCCCAATCTATCACCAAACATTTTTTTCCAATAAATCCATAGGCCATGATTACACAAGAAAATGTTATATAATGATAGAGTTTAATTTTAGCATTTTAAAGTTGATTTATACCATTAAAAATAATCTAAATCCTACCCTTAATTAAAAACATTATTTCCAAACAAGGCTGATATACATAGACGCAAGGGTGGTCAGAAAGTGTGCATCATGTGCACTCGCACAGGGCCCACAATTTTTTTTAGAGCCCAATACTTTTAGACATGCATCATCTTAACTATTTTATATTTTCCAAATAAATTTTTTGAAATATATAAATATCATCTTGATAGTAAAAATTTTGTATAATTGATCATGAAAAATAGAACTTAGCATTGGTTTTAAAAATATAACTACTCCCTACAAAATAAGATTGGACCCAACATTGAGTACATGTTTTCACTTAATCCGAGAAATTTTGGATATAATAAGGGTGCTAACACCCAGAGAATTCATTCAATGTTACCTACCTTAAAACAACAAAAGTGTAGTGTCTAAAGTAATATTGTAATGCAAAATAGATTTCACTTAATTGCCTTATTGTAGTAAAAGTTGTAGCCAAATAAGGCTGGCATACGCATAATAAGTGAGTATTATAAGTACTGCTATCAGTTTCATTGCAACCATAGAGAAAATAAGAGAGTTTTAAATAGACCAGACACAAGTGATCTGTCTATATATATAAATAAAAGATTTTCTGGTAGGTGTTTTATGCAGTAGGAGCTGATGAGATTGATCTTCTTATTTTTCCCACACAATTGTCTTTGGGCCTACAATGTGGCAAATACATCAATGGGCAATCTGGGTTTTCCCTCTCCAACCTGCAAAAAATAAATTTTTTTAACCAAAAATTATGTGCTCAGAAATCCCACAATTCATTCATAGAGGGAAAAAAATCAAGAAGTGAAGAAACAATGTATAACTCACTCGTAGCCAAGAAGAAAATAGTGCAGAAAAATGGATATTTCAAGCTTGGCGAGATCGTTTCCCGGGCATAGTCTGCTGCCTGCCCCAAATGGTAAGAAGGATCCTACTTTTGGTATCAAGTTCTGCACCAATTTCAAATTTTAAAGAATAAGTGTTAAAGCCTAATAGACTTAAGAAGTGAACTTTGATTGTCTAAAACTTATTGAGTTGTTCATTTATTATATTGATACTCAAATGATGTCAGATAATATAATGAGCGCGATTCTTTTGACACCAAGGATGAGTGTCTTAATATATGACACCAGTCACCAGTCTATTTGACTGTCTTACGATACTCTATTTCATCTCGAAGTAATTCCTACCCCTAAACCCCTCGTAGTCCATCCTTGTGTACCCCTAGCCCATCCACTATCAAATATTTGGAAATTTTGACAGTGAATTGTAACCTTTTTTTNTAGGGTTATGAACTACTTAAATGGATTGAACGAAGCACCGCATGACCATCAAACCGATTGAATGTCATAAGACTATTTAGGACCCTCAAATGGTGTTTAAAGACTATTTGGCCCTAACCCATATGTATTTGTGATAGGTGAAGAGCTTCACTATATAATCTATCAAATGTGTGAAAATAGAATTGAAAACTATGTGTTGATGTTTGAACTTACATCCCATCTAGAAGGGTTGAACTCCAACGGATCATCATATATTTCCTTGTCCAAGTGCACTCCCCTAAACCACACCAAAACTTTCCATCCCTTGGGAATTGTATACCCCGAAACATTCACGTCCTTAATAGCCTCCCGGAAGACAAAGAGAGAGAACGTCACAACACGTAGTGTTTCGTCGATCACCTGCCAACGCAAACAACCATATTCATACAAACCAATTCAACCGAAAACTCAAGCTTGTAGTTGAAACCCAGTTAACAAATGTCACTATATATTCTAGCAAACTAATTCGGTTCACCTTGGAAAGATATTCCATCTGCCTGATTTCTTTTAGTGTCAAACCCTTTTGTCCATGAGGCATATTTCGCGCGATTTCCTCTTGCTCGGCCTGCACCATCACCACCATCATAGAAAATGTTAACATGAGGATAAAACTCTCAAGATTAATTGATCAAAGTACTTTAAATTGTTGTCCTAATTGATTAAAAAAATGCATATATAATAACCTTGGCTTTTTTGAAGACCTCAGGGTGCTGTTGCAGAAAGACAGTAGCCCACATGGTGATATGGCCTGAGGATTCATGACCAGCATTCAAGTACATTATAAGAACATCAATGATCTCTTCATCGTCGAGCCCTCTCCCATTGTCATCTCTCACTTCTAGCAATCTATCCATCATGTCCTTATTCTCATTACCACCATCCTTCTTTGACCTCATCCTCTCCCGCCGTTTATCCACTATTGATTGAAGAATCGCCACAAGGTTTTTTCGTGCCTAGAATCCAAAATCTTTCTATGAATTTCGCAAAACACATATACTATTAACATGCAACACAACTTTTACATAATTGAAGTTCAAAGTTTTTCAGTTCGACAAAACGGTCAAACTCAACAAATACACTGAGACAGGGATACTAGCATGCACATGAGAACACAAATACTAGTTAGTACTCCTTCCATTC